GCCACACGTCTATCGATCGATATATATCGTTATTGAATTATCGCCCAGCCCTAAACTCCATTAATAAGATTGATCAAATCCTCTGAGCTTTAGAAGTAAATGAATGTATACCAGCTTAACTACTTTTACACAACTACATTAAATACCCATTTCAGATTTTAGTGGCTTAATCAGTTAAAAAAGGGTTATGACATAAATACTAAAATATTTATTTTCTGACACTATAAAACAAATACAGCTCCAAGCAAAAAAAAAAAAAAAAAAAAAAACAATTTAAATGCTAACAGACACATTACACGTTGCAATATTGGTTTTGATGAATAAAGATTTACCTGCAGGAAAGGGTCACTTATGCCCGACACATCATGTTCAGGAGAGTATCCAGACATTATTAGGTTCTTGAGGATTCGCACCAACTGTGGAACCAGCTATAGTAAAAACAAACCAATAAAAGAAAAAAAGAAGGGAAGGTGTCACAATATTATGCGTGGATACAAAATGTATATTTCATGTGATAATTAAGTGACAGCTAATCAAACATAGGAAGACAAAAGGTGTCATTTTTATTTACTATGGAGGAGCAACAACATTAAACATTGGTATAGAAATCTATATATAAAAGGTGTGAAATTAAAGGGGTGGTGCCGGTTATTTCAACATTCATACCCTCATTGACAGCTAATGAAAGCAAAAATCGACAGTTTCTTGAAATAAATTTAGTTTTGAGATCCTAATAATTAATATGTCACATCATTTTAGGTTGTCAGGTAACTGGTTTTACTGACTCAAGAAGCTCCGTTGATGGAAAAAAGTAGTAATATAAATTCATGCATTTAATGTACCCAATTATATGTGAGATTTTCACTTATGAGCATTTAAATTCAAAATGTATCAATGTATACAACTATATAGAGAAAAAAACAGGTAATATATCCTAGGTAAATGGAGACAAAATAGCAGTAGGTTGGAACAAAAATGGCAAGGAATGGATACAAACTGCTGTAGAGGTAAAATGCAAAGTCTATTATTTGACTGTATCTTATTTTACATTCAATATATGTAAAATTAGTACTTATTGGAGGAAAAAAATAAAGGTATTTTCATTGGAAAAAATGAATAAAACTTCTGATTCAGGAATAATTTTACGACCAATGATTACTAAAATATAGAAATATAGATACTGTTTAGTTAAAAGGTAGGTAGCTTTGACTTGAATAAAGAAAACTGGACTTATTCCATATAAATAAAATATAAAATGTAGATAAAAGCACAAGAACACTTAAAAAAAAGGGCAATTATTACACTTATCAACATGATGTACCACTACTTTGACATCTATGTATTCCTAATGCAGTTCCAATTACACCCAAATAGATTTTGTCCCTAATCTAACAGAAAGTCTTATTTCTAGTGCCCCCTTGTGGCTATTTAATGAAAACCCACCAATGGTGCTAAATTTAGCCTTTAAACCAGTGAGTTGAACATTAAAAACAATAGTGGAAATGTTTTTGACGAATGGATCAAAAACAGTTTTGTATAATATTTCAAAACACTGACATAGTAATGATCACCGTACAATATAAAGAAATTAAAACAATCTAACTTATAACACAACATGACATTACTCAACACAAATTTGGTTACTTGTGAGATGACCGTGAAGGAGTGAGGACTATAAACAGCATGCACCAGCTATGAGATCAGAATGTACTCTTACCTTCTCATTCTAACACAATGCAGGAATTGTAACAAAGACAAATGACAGAAAAAATATGAAGTAGATGTTAGGGAGGGGAATCATTCACTTTCAGAGTGCTCAAGATAATGCTCAGAATATGAACATGAGACGCAGCGCTTTTGACCTAGTTTGAAAAACTCATATAGGAGAAGAACAGCAGCAGTTTAGAACAACAGGGGGAACAAAATTACACTGGGAGGATATTAAAGATATTTTGAAACCAAGAGGAAACTGTATCGTAACCTTGTTTAACATATCTGCCGATCTTGGTCATTAAAATAAAATGTGCAACCGAGGGAGAATGGAATATGACATGAGTTTCAGACAAATGTGCAAGAAACTGCTTTAATTTTTGGTGCAAGAGAATGTGTACCTTTCTGAAGTGGGCCAGCATATCCGGACTTCTTTCACACATCTCAGTGAGGAGGACAACGGATGTATGAAGAACACCTGAGTGGACAGAAAGGAAAGGTTATCTTCATTCATTCCTGTATTTTAACAGCAGTCAATAGTCTCCAAATTGCTTTTTAATTCTTTTGATCATAAAGCTTCAAACCATTAATGTCAGGGTGCAACCTGTTTGATGCCTGATTGATTATAAGGTTCTTATAATCAATTCATAGTCCTAATTAGCTTTATGGGCTGCACCGCAGCATTTTGTACTGCGGCACAACAACGTAATAGCTCTGTATTTCACAAGGTCAATCGCTGCATCTGTAAATTTAAAAGGCAAAGTACCTCCCCCACAGTAACAGTCTAAGCAGTGGAAAAATAGAAAAGGCCACCCCATCCAAATTAAATATTTAACTCACATTAAACTAAGTAAAAATAATTAATCAATATATGTTACATTTTTGCAACAATAACCAAGTGTACCGGCCTGAAAAATCTGACATATTTGCATTATAGAATGCTTCTGATAAACAAATATAGTTGAAAAGTAATTCAATACTTGTCTATTGGTCACGCTGCAATGCTTTTTTTTTTGTTTGAAATCCAAGGTTTAAATCAGTGCAGCACTATGAAAATTTAGAGCACTGAGGAAATTCTGATTCCCCTTTCCAACAGGAGTTGGTACCCGCACTGTAAAGATGATGTTGTGTTTCTTAGGTAAAAAAAACAAAAATTACCCTGACCATGGGCTTGTAAAAAACAGCCATTTGGGAATCGTTCCTAACCTTGACATGCCACCCCTACCTTTATAGGCTGCTCTACCTCTGCTGCCAGGAGCACAAATGCTAAGCCCCCTGCAAGCCCTTGAAAGACCGAGTCCATGACAGTCTGAAGGGCGAGGGGGTGGTCCATGTTTACATAGTGCTGACTCAAGGTCCTCAAACAGACAGGTTTCTAATGTGTATGTGCAAATAAGGATGTAAATGTGTCTAAAACACTCGCTTCGGCTGTTGTGCTCGGTAAAGTTAATCTTTTTGGTATAAAATCTGCATAATTTTTAAAACTTTCAGCTTAACAAGGTGTTGTGCTAAAAGGCAGTGGACAGAACCTTAGAGAAGGGTTCAAAGGGCCAATAGGCTCATAAGAAAACTATCACATAATCCTGGGTTTGATTCCTTGTCCTGCTCAGGACATAAAGAAAATGACAGCTGGAACAAATAAACCACCATCTTGATTAATGGTAATCTCATTTTAAAGCCCCACCAGCCAAAAAAAACAAACAAAAGAAAACAAAACTCCCATCAGTGAACAGTGAACATTTCTCGTTTTACATCTCAAATAAAAAGGAATAACCTCTTTTTAGTTCTGACACCATGGTCCATACAGTGGGCTGTAATCCAAGCTTATGCTAAGCTCATTGGTCCTAATGTCCAGTGCAAAGTCAGCTGCTCTAAACAAGGCACCAAACGTGGTTGGAAATTGGACAGATTCTACATTTCTGTTGGACATCTGGCTTCTGACAAATCGTTTCCACTTACCGTGGTTCTTCTCACTCAGCAGGTTTTTTGTGGCTGGGAGGAACATTTCCATGAGCTCTGGGACCTTCCTGATGACATGAACTGCACACAATGCCGCCTGATGACGAATATTGAAACAAGAGATGGTTTAAAAGGCAACTCCAAACTCCCCCTTTTTTTGCTAATAAACTGTATACATTAATGTTTTTCAATGTTTTTTACCCCATAAGCACTATTTTGACAGTTATTTCAACATATTTGTTGACATACTGCTTTTCCGTCCACTTGTAGCCTCGGGGTTAAACAGGTGTACTGCTTCTAAAGCCCATCTCTCACCCTGACGATTTAGAACAGCGTATGCCTAATGTACAAAAAAATCTGCCTGCATTTACAGCCAGGGTCAACAAACTAAACCTAACTAAACAGCAGTTAGGTTAATACCGCAATCAAATAATTTTATGCTGCCCCCCCCTCAGGACACTGGCTTGTGACATTTCATGGGCATTACGCTGCCTTGCATTATGCATAAGTTAGGCTGTCGTTGGACGCAAGTTCTGGACTGGTTATGAATACGCTATGTATACGCCCAAACTTTAAAAAAAAATACATATAAAGTTCAGCGTACGCCAGCATTTTAGAAGATTCTGGGAATTCTGGCATACGCTGGTTAAATTGTCAAGGTGTGACAGGGGGGCTTAACTGAGTCAGTATAAATGGTGGCTTACCTGTTATTCCAACGCCACCTAGAAATAAAATGATTATGATAAATGCAGAACCTTCATGCCTTGTGACCCAGTGACACAAAGTTGATGTCAACTCATATTAGACTAGATAGAAGACACTCACTCCTTTGGTTTTAATGCGTTTTCTAATTTTATTATGGAAGTTTAATTATTTTCTCAACTATAAAAGTTAAAATAGTTTGCGTTATTCCCATGTCCTCTGAGCTGCTGAAATATACACATTATATATATATATATATATATATATATATATATAAAGAAAAAAAAAAGAAAAATAGAAAATGCATTAAAATTGTCTTTCAGGTGTAACATAATTTAGTCTTTAATTGAAACCAAACTCTGAATGTCAGAAAGACCCACCGCTGAGCACCGCCTCCATAAGGCTCATTTTAAAATATATTATATGTGGGTAGAGGTAAGACTCCAATGGGGGCGAGTCCTTCTTCAATAACCTTTCTAACCATTTTTAATGAAATATAATAATTCCCCAAAATATAAAAGGACAGTGAAAAATAAAGCTTACCTTTTTCCTTAAGTATGAGTTGGATGTTTTAAGCAGCTTCTCTACCTCCCCTGCCAGGTCACGACACATTTCTGAGGATCCCATGCAGCCTAAAGTGCACAAAGCCAGGCCTTGGACGTACTGTGTGCTGTGATTTAAATCACTGGTGTGGAAGAAACGAGTCACATAAGCCATGGAAACACAGCAGTATAATCAGGAAACATTTCTAAATAAAAGCCACACAAGGATAATATTGTGATTGGTTGAGAAAGAAGCAGAGACTCTAATATAACAAAGAAGAGTTTCAGAATGAAAATCACCAAACTGCATGTGCAACACTTTGCACTGCTTTATGTAGTTTAAAATGGACTTACTTTTTAATGCAGTTTGTCATTAGTAAATGAACATCCTGTCTCTCGTCCAGAAGCAGCATAGCTCCCAAATAACCTATTCGTTTGTCAGTGAACTTCTGGGAGGCAATCAGCTTCAGACACTCAAGCTAAAAACAAGACAAAAGATAATCAAACACTAATATTACTGACAGAAACATCACTAGAAATAAAAACGCTGTTTAACCCTCCAGGTCATGAGCACACATACCTGTCCAAAGTGGGCTGGGTAGCCCAACATGTGCATATAGAGTAACTTTGCCACATTTCTGCATCGGTATGTGTTGTCTTCCTCTCTAAAAGACGACCGAATAGCAGCACACTCTTTCTGGATCATCTCGCGCTCCTCTGCCTGAGTCCGTGCTGTCCGGATGGTCCGGATCAGCTCCCGTAGTCTGATCGGAGCTGGCATTCTCTGGAAAAGAAACGCACAAAAGGGGGAAAAGGATGTGATCTACTGACAAAACACAACTCTGTCCCCTATGACTTAGAATACAGCAACACTGAATTACTTATTTCATCCAATATTAGTATTACAGAGGGGAGTTGTATAAACAAAGATCATGTTTTAAATAGTAAACATAGAGTTCCAAGTTTTCTTAATTTATATTTCTTCCAATTAATCTTTTTCACTCAAAGGCTTTCTGCTTTAAATACAACCAGTTACTGTGCAATTAAACACTTTATATTAAGAGATATTAAGGTCTAGTCCAACAATACACAGAAGCTGAATTAAGACAAAAACAAAGAACAAGTAAAATTTAATTCCCTCCAACGAAGCTTCTAAGCAAGGAAAATGTAAAAATATTTATGAAGATGCTTTTATTTAAGAGGATTTTTTGCACAAAATACCATTTATTTTAATCAACATGAGTAAAGTCCAATAGTTAGAATAGCCAATGAGAGACAAGTCTGTTCCAAAGCTCAGGTTTAATTAATCTTTTTTATTCACAATATAAAAATCAGCTACATGCCTATACCTATCTTGAATACTTGTGTTATGCCAACACTTTATATTAGTTCCAAGACATGAAGCATAGCTTTAGCAGTAACTGTGAGGATAATCAAACTGCACTGATCAAATTAGACGTAACGTAACTTAGGGTAACAGGCAAACCAACAGTTCCTGTAGACTCTTCTTATAAAGCATAACTCATCTATAAACATCTAAATGGGTTCACTATATTGTTTTATGGGAACTCTTTACCACCACCTTTACACTTTACTAAGTTATAAAACAGGTGAAGATGATGCAAAGGTAGCAGTTAGAGAAAAACAGGGAAAAGACATGATGCCACCAAAAATAATGCCAAATAGGATTGCTTCAGCACAGCTACATCTAAAAGCACTACAAGGCATGTTTTCTGATTTTCGATGTGGTTGTAAAGCTCTGTATCCCTACACACCTTTACAAGAAGGTGCCCCAGGGCAGTATCCTCTGTGTAAACAGTTTGCTAATTATGCCTGCATAGAACTATACATGTAGGCAGAGAGCAGGAGGACATTTCTAACATCCACTCCATAGAATAAGCATTTATTCAATAAGCACTTGAAGAACCCAAAAAAATGACTAAAGCTTTGCATAGAATTTTTTTTAAAAATACTAATGGAAAAATAATACATGAAAAAATATTTAAAAATGCAATAGGAGAAAAAATACAAGGTTGAAAATATGAACAATAAGGTTAGTATTAAGAAAAAAACTAGACTGGCTCTCTGGATTTAAAAGCAGCAGAAACATCTTTCTTTATAAGCAACAAAAAGAAAAACTCTTCCACGTCATTAAAGAGATGGCAAAAAAGTCACATTTCTCTCCAATGTTATTACAAACATGTAATCGCCTATAAATTAGGATTTACAAGTCGTTTCTTTTTGGGAACTAGACTTATTTAGTAAAAATCAAACTAACAGCCTCATTAATTCAGCCCTCTGACTAAGATAAATATAAGTTTTGTCTCCAAATGTCATGGAGCCTTTTATCAGAAACAGTGCAGTTCACATAATGAGTCTGCAAAGCAACTGAAATAATTGTAATTATCTTTAGAGCACATTCATTTTTACCTTTGGTGTTATGTAATGGATGTTCAGTAAAAATGGACACGCCTTTTCAAAAAAAAAAAAAAAAAAA